CCTTAGAATGTCGAGGGGAGGTGCTCGTTTCGGTCCTCTGCTAGGTGTGTAGCGTCTGTAATCGATATGTTCTGTTGTTCCAGGACCCTTTTAACCCCTTCCAGCCTGGTCTTTCTTGGTCTTCCACTTGATTTAAAGCAGGATTCTCGGGTGTTGTAAGCTCTCGCCGCTAGTTATTTTTGGGGCATTCTGTTTAGATGTCCAAACCATTTGACTCTTTGACGCTCTATGAATTTTATTACTGTTGGTATTCTAGGTTGTAAACGTAGAGAGAGAAGCCTGTATTGTGCTTATTATTCAACACACAAAAACAAAAATGGACACAGACATAGTTCAAAGTATGTAAAAAAGTACATTGCCTTTTGTTTCTTTATATATAGTGGCACAGTGTTAGGCACAAACTGGTACCCTTCGATTTCAAAATTTCACGTCAGTAACGGGCATTGTCGCCCCTTGCAATGATGCAAGCTTGGCATGTTCTGTCCATTGATCGAGTCAGTTTTTCTTCTTTAAATTAATTGTTGTGGCAGTCTATTCTATTGTTGAATCAAAGCTTGTCCAAGTTATTGTACGGTGTTGATGTCGTTGTGGCAGCTCACTCTTCGGCCCACAGGGTGACAGTGACATGAGTGGCGAGATGGCTGGCCATGGCAAACCATTCACATTGTGCTGCTGTAGATATTGTACCTTTGCACGGGTAACGTGTGGGCGCGCACTGTCTTGCTGCTATATGTACATACGTCTATGTGTGTTGTTGGAATGTGTACATACGTCTATGTGTGTTGTTGGAATGTGTACATACGTCTATGTGTGTTGTTGGAATGCGTACATACGTCTATGTGTGTTGTTGGAATGTGTACATACGTCTATATGTGTTGTTGGAATGTGTACATACGTCTATGTGTGTTGTTGGAATGTGTACATACGTCTATGCGTGTTGTTGGAATGTGTACATACGTCTGTGGGTTGGAAAGAAAGGAACCATGTACGTCCGGAGAACATTCTGCTGCTCGTTGGCGTCGACTACAGCGTGGAAAATGTGGGGCTAGATTATGTGGTTAGAGTATATTCAACCCCATACCACCACACTGCCACCACCCCATCTGTCTATTCCATGCGCACAGCAGCGCACCCCCCTCT